TAAATACTTTAAATACTTTAAATACTAAAACATGAAATCATTAATGCTTGCAGTATAACTATTCCAAAGTATGAATTATTGCCGTTATTTCAGAATTTCATGGCTGTTGTGGACCCGGTAGAACTTATCCAAATTTCAAATTATTTTGCACAGTGTGTTTTTAGTACAGATAGAACATTTTTTTTATATAGCCATGAAAATATTTTTCACTTGGGGGGTTTGATGCACCCTAATACCCACGATTGGCCGGTTTAGGCGGGACCTCTGTGATGACCTGAGTACCTCCCCCAGGAGGCTCGATGGCAGTGAGGTGCTCTTTGTGGCCGTGATCAGACTCCCCTCCTTTAAGAAGCCCGGCCACATGGGCCTGTGCATAACATGTGCTTGGGAATTGGTGATTGGGTGCCTGTGTCCTGTGAGGTTAGACGGAAAGGGAAGCTGCCCCCCCCCTTCCCCGCATCTGTGATGCACACTCAACAAACCTGCTGTTTCTCACAGACATTAGAACCATAAATCACCAAAAAGTAGATCCTTTAATGAATCTGCTCCCGACAGTGGGGAACAGGATCCGCCTGCTTGGCTTCAGTTCTCTGCTGTTTGTGGACGTCCTGCTCACCTGCCTCTTCTTTGAATGCGTAGGATGTTGGAGTCTGACTGCGGGAGAGAGTGCAGCTAAGGTGTTGGCCACCAGCCCTGAGCCCTGTTACTGTCCACCTGCAGGGGGTGACAGTGAGCAGCAGGAGGGGAGATCACAATGAGTGCAGCTGGATTTGCTTGCCGCTTAATGCAAATATGAGATTAGGAGACCATAAAGTGAAATGCTTCAGCAATAACAAGTTTACTCAGTAGTTATGTGTGGAACAGCATCTGGGGTTAAGCGGCACCCAGCTGATGCCTGTAAACAGCTCAGATGTTAAGATCCTTTGGAGCAGCTTTGCGGAGGTTTATCTCTCCTCAGTAAAAGCTTATGGGCACTTGGATGTCTGGGTTAAAGTGACTTAATTAGAGCTGGGGATTACTGTTAAAATCTGCACGTTTATGCAGTTTTCTGCCCAAACATGTTGTCGGCAAACCAGAACATGATTCTGATGAATTCCCTGCTGTGAGGAACCTGACCCAGATTATTCCAGTAAAAAACGGAGTCATCTGTTTCCATAAAAGTGGCTGGTAAATGTACAGTAAGTCTCGCTTGACAAGAGTGTGATTGGCTGGCAGCACAGCATGACGTTTGATTGGTTTGCTCCAGTTATGTCAGACGTGCTCATAGGCTACCGTCCCACAGAACCCCACCCACCCATCCTTCTGTAAGTCAGCCTCCATAAGCACCCTACACTCCAAAATCTGGTCACAGTGGACCTTGGCTTTGTGCTGCAGATGGAATTTGGCCCTCCGTTAAAAAAAAAAAAAAAAGTTCGGGGCCCCTGATCTACAGCCACCGCACAGATTAATAATGTTCACTTGCTATGCCTAGATTTAACACTAGAGGGTGCTGTTGTCTACGGCCTCTGTGTCTGAAGCAGATGCAGAGGGTTAGCTGGGTTAAGGCTAAGCACAGGGCCCAGGTCGGGCCTCCATCTAGTACCACTCGGTGAGGTGCTTAAGAATGAGTCTGAAAGCCTTAATCATACTGAACGAGCATGTGAACTAAGCAGCATAATCAAACAAGCCCACATGACAAGAGCCACCGGTGAATTTAGCTGAAAGAGTTTTTCCATAGCTGCCAGAGTCATGACCATGAAAGGGAAAGTGGGGCCGTACGTCTGAGCCAGGCATGCAGGGCTGCACGGTGACGTGTGGGGGGGAAGATCCTCCATGCGGCGCCACCTAGCTGCAGCGACTCGCTTTCAGGCAATTGGACGACAGCCCACCCGCTCCGCTGTGTACGCACGAGGCTGAGTGCTCCATGACTGTAGCGAGATGGCTTGTCCTCTGAATTTCACGGTGCCTTTCCGCACCCACGGTCCCATAAAGCAGAAAACTGCGCAGCTTGAAGTACAGAACAGTACAGAATGTAAAGACTCATGACCTAGGGTAGTGTTTTCCCAATCCGGTCCTTGGGGACCTACAGTCAGTCTACATTTTGCACGAGATAGAGCAAAGAACCTAGAGCTTAAGTAGTGCTTTCGGAGAAGGAGATGCTGATCCTGAATTATTCAGACGTGAGTATTCAATTCTATTCATTTTTTTTTTTTTTATACAGCCTCTTTCATAACAGTTATCCGAAGGCGCTTTACATGGATGTGGTGTGATACAGAAATTAAAGAAAGAAAGTCCGATGACAGCAGAGGAGAGGAACCAAAAACTCCCAAGTAAGGAGAAAAAAAACTCCTGTCTCTCTGTACTAACAAACTGTTACCAAGGGCAACCACTCAACACATTGTGGTGAGTTTGGCAGAGTAGCTACACTCTCAGAAAAAACGGGTAAAAATCTGTGCCTTTGCTTGTCACTGGGGCTGTACCCTTGTAATTGTACCCTTTAAGGTTCAGAAATGGACTCTGAGGAACAACCAAAAGGTACAAACAGCACTGATGTACCATCAATGGTACAGAAATGTTCCTTAGAGTCCATTTCTGTACCTTATAGTTACAATTACCCACAGATGAGGGTACAAGGCCCTCAGTGACAAGCAAAGGTACATTTTTTTACCCGTTTTTTCTGAGTATACAGAGGGCAGCAATGAAATCATCCTGTAAAAGGACGAATGCACATGCTGGAAGGAAAGAAGTTCAGTAAGCATGAGGTGATGTTCATAGAGCGGGGGGACTGGGGGCCCTCTCAGCGTTTGTGTGCTTGCTGTCTTCCATAACCTGCAAGCAGGGGCCAAGGGTCCATCCAAGGGTTCAACTTGCTCCTTTGCCATGCGTTAAACTCGGCTACAGCTCGGGTCGAGCTAAACACTAGAGGAAAATCTGATGATCTCTCTCTGTCTCTGTCTCTATCTCTCTCTCTCTCTCTCTCTCTCTCTCTCTCTCTATATATATATCCTTTTGTAATTTATATTTTTGTAATTTATATAAACAAAGAATGACTAAACACCAACCACAATAATAAAGGGAGTTTTTGCGGCTATAATTTTTCAATGAATGGATCATGGCGTGGTGTTTGCTACTGCAATGTTTTTATGATGTTTATGATATTACAGCCGTTGGCCTTATGGCGAGTGAAAAGTGCGCTTTAAATCAAATATTGTTTTGGTTTGGCTTTTTACCCTTAATCAACATTCTGTCAAATACACAGTTTTGTCCCGTTTGTTCAGATTTTTGGCTTTAGTTTAACGTCCAGCGAGATCTCGTACGTAACCGTTTCATCTACCATAAAAAGCAGCGACAACATTCCCCTATCTGCATGCTTTAAATAGAGCCGTATTCGCGCAGGGAGCTCTTGCAGGCGTCCCGCCCCGCACAGGGGCCCCCGGTGCCCCTTTCCCTCCCTACGATTGGTCGGCCGCCTGCTGGCTCCCCGTTAGTTTGGAATAACCGATACCGCATTGGTTCTTGCGGCCCGGGATCAGGCCCCCGGCTGTCAGCAAACGGACACAGAAAAGGTCGGACTTCAGCTGCTCGGACACCGCCCGCCACACAGCAGAGATGAGTGTAAGTATGCTCTCTTTTCATTCATTCGGCATGATTGCTGCCTCTCATATGCAGCGCTTGCAATGTTTACATGTTTAAGAAGTCGGGTACCATTAACCGCGTCCATTTCTGCGTAATAGCGCTGGTTAATGGGGTGCGGCTGACTGCGGCTGTTACCCCGTGGCTCACTCTCCATATGTACAGCGGTTTCGTTTTATGAGCAGACTAAACGCCGCAATCACATCAGCTCTGAAATCTTCTCACTTTAAACGCATAAAGAAAGTTTATACTCCTCGCACACTGTCAGAGATGTTGCGTCATTGTGTCGCAAAGTCATCTGTCAATTTAAGCGAACATTTCTATTTTTTTTTCTCCACTGTCGCTTGAATATGATCAATATTTAATAAAAGTAACATGCGTAACTAAATTAGCGAGGATAATAATAATAACAACAGTTAATCTAGGACGTTTTTTAAAGCATCTAATAAGAGCTGGGTAATTAGATTGTTGTCTTGGTTACTGGGATGAACAGTAACAGATTTTGTGCGCTGAGACTAAGTATAAATGGAAAAATTAGCTAGAGTCGTTAGACTACTGACGCATGACGTCATTGTAGCGTGTTTGAATAGTAATGTCGATTTTAGGAACAAGAAAGCCCATCTGAATTATAAACCTCTCTTCCATAAAAGCATTGAGGCATTTCAGAGAATATCAGTCTTCTGCAAAAGCAAAACCTTTATCTCTTAAATGAGTGAAGATCCAAGAATTATCATTGATTATGAAAATATTACATATATGGAAGCATAACTTAAAAACGGAATCAGAACTGCTCGTTCATTAATGTAAAAAATTGAGATTCCATTTTTTTTGCACACTTGCTCGTAGGTTAGCATACTCTTACAATTTTATGCAAAAAAAAAAAAAAGAATGGTCTGATGGATTAATATTATGAGGAAAGCTTTTAAAACACAATGTAGCCTTAGTTTCATAAACATGCCACTCTGATGTTTAACTTTGTGTCCTGAGAAGACGGAATGTGAGTCTGTATGGCAGTGCCAGCCGGCCAGCCCCCCCCTCAGCCCCCCGTTCAGCCCTCGCTCTCGTAACCCACCAGCCCACTTATTCCGAGGGGGATAATGAGCAGGGATGAGACTGTGACGGAGGGCACAGCTGCCCCGGGCTGCCGCCTCGTGCCCACGCCCTCGTGCCCACGCCCTGCAATGGCCGGCACATCTCCCTCTGCCACTTAGCAGCCATATGCCATTATGTGACACTTGGATGATGAGGCTCGATGGGCTTCTGTGCAACACATGCAAGGCTTTTGTTTGCCACTGTGCGCCTCCCGTGTGCATGCAGACTCTGACAGACCCCGGTCTGAGGGATCATCCCCCACAGAAGAAGGTATCTCTGCATGTTCCTTAATCCCGCATGCCTCACCCCAGTAACAGCTGCCTCCATTGCATTCCAGCAGAGATCCGCCTCATTCTGAAATATTACACACCCCCATCTCTGTAAAATAGCTAATCACAAGGAAAAGCCCCCAGCTTAAAGCGATTCTAGCCTGTATGCAAAAGTGACTTTTCTTTCGTGTTATTTTTCTACGCCGCATGGAATTTTATAGAAGAATGTCTTAGTAAGTATATAGACCATCCTTCTTATACCTAATATTTGTACAGGGGTGTTTCCCAGTAACTGATGTACGCACACGAGTCTCTAATTCATTGGGAGTTAAATTTTAAAAAGTTGAAAAGGTTAAGCATTGGTTTAGCCAGATAAAATCAGCAACGCTCCAGTTGCCTTTTCCCAGAAGTCTTTCCAGTTTCCAAAGATGACTTGGGCGAGACTCT